CTACTAGGGGCTCCTGGCATCGCTACTAGGAGCAAGGACGCTACTAGAACCACCCTGTTTTTCTTTCCCCACAAACGGCAACCTGGAGGTGCGTGACCAGCTCCCAATGCCCTCCTGGGGTGAACCTGTACGGAGAAATGTGCGGAGACGCAGTTCTGCAAATTGTCTAATCCTGAAATTTGTTGTTAAACAGACTTCCTGTAGACTATCTCACTCTTTCCATCCAAACAAAAGATCAAGTGCATAAAGACACAAATATGCTGCGGTAAATCACAGGCAGATCCCAAAACTGGTGTAATGTCTAAACAAAGGCCTTTCCAGTGAGGTCAAGTCTTGCTGCCCGCGACAACCTGGCTGGCAGTAAGATGGGCTAGCAAACCGGAATCCAAGGCTAGCAAGTCGAAGAGACGAAGAATCATGCTTGGCGAGTCTTGCAAATCTTTGCTAATCCAGTAGAACCCATTAAGCCACTTCCATTCCTTGTTCCAAAAACTCTATATAAGTAGGTTGTTGTTTCTTGACCCGTTTCTGGTGACCTCCAATCGCCCAAATGCTGCCCATGAGTGCAGCTGCACCTAGGCCTGATGCAGGTTGTTTGTGATGGTCAAACCTTCTGCTGAGAAGCGTCGGGGAGGCTGTCTATCTCTCTGAATTGTACAAGCAAGAGCAATAGGATACATTTGATACAGAATTCTGAACGCCACTGACTGTACGTCTATGGGGCCCCAGACTGTCCAGATTATGTAATTAGAGGCTCATAGCGGCTAACAAAAGTGAGTCAAATGTCTCATTCAAGGTCGCTGCTTTCCGCTAACCGTCCTAGCACCCAAGGATCCATCATGTTCGTGAATACAGGGCTTAAGCTTCCAGGAAGCTCTCGCACCTGCACGAGGCTCTTGTAGAGGAGGAGCACGGCGCCATCCATCCGAAAGCTGGTCGTGGCCTTCAATCTTCAAATAGTTCACCTGACAAACAGCCCGCCACCACATGGGATTCAGCCAGGCGCTCGTCACGTTAGTGCACTAGTTACACTAGCTGTCAGGGTCAAAGTAGTTCCTGCGGTATGCATACATGTTTTTTGCCAACCTTCACCTCAGAAAATGAGCCAGCTGCTGCAGTTCGGGCTCAAGCAATATGAATCGCCAAATCTGATCCAGAACATCTATATAAGTCTTTGCAAGTGCCATCCACGCCTCGCTGCTCGGCTGCCCTGCCAAGTCGTCCCAACCGCCCAATAAATAGACGGCCTAAGTCTGAAGCTGACAGCCAAGGAGTGGTTTTTGGTGGTATCGAAATCGGTTTTCACGTTTGACATGAACCAACCTCAAACCCGCTCGACACAAGTCATACCGCTGCTGCTGCTGCTTGGCCAAGACTCCGGCATCACCAAGTGCCACCTTGAAGCCAAGTCAGAACATTCAACGAGCTCAAGTGTGACCATCGGACCAAGTTGATCGAAACGGCCAAAAAGGAAGAGAACACCAAGACCTGTTGGTTGCACAGCTGGGTGCAAACATGTCCACCTCACAATCCATAATCCTTCCATGAGGCCATCCCACACATTCTCTCGAGAACGCTTTCGGTTGTCCCGCAGGCTTGCGTGGGTCAAATGTCAAGCCCTTATGCGCTGCACTCCTTCACACCGATGGAAAATAGGCGCAATACCGGACAACTACTCCAACTCATGACAAACTGGGAGTGCAGGTCGCAGCCCTCGTTTCTAAACTGCCAAAAGATCTCCAAAACTTGTGACGCGTTATTGCTCTTTTGCAAACAGCTTTGATTTGAGCCACTCTCATCCAAGGAGCCGCAGCTAATGCCCTCTTTGGGGAGTGCAGCCGCGGTGCCTGAGCGCCAGGGTGTTGGCATAGAACTATACATTGAATCTAAATTAAAATATATATATATATATGTGGGGGGGACCTTTACGTATAATATAACGACCTCTCACTCCTCAGCTTCGTCCCAACTGCTGTACTCTACTCTATTCTAAAAAACGATTGTGCCAAAGATGCAATGAGACTTGGATAATATACCTTACCAAAAAAACGTAGAGCCTGGTGGGATACAAACAAGAGAAGTGGTATAGGGTAGGGTAAAAGATACACAGGTTGATCAACTACATATATATGATGTATGTAATATATAATTAGTAGTCCTGGTCTCGGGTGGACAAAGTAGTTAGGGTAAATGGGCAGAGTAGATAAGAGTGAAAAAGTACGCGCATTTCCAGGACATCCTGCAGAGCGTTAGGCCGCAAAACTAAAAAGACTAAATATTTAGTTTTTGTTAGTGTTTTAGTTTTTTTTGTTTTTTAGAATTTTTAAATACCTGGAAACCTTGAAACCTGAAGGATTTATTTGTTTCTATTTTGTTTAAGTTTTTTGTAAGACCGCAAAACACAAAAAGAAACATATGTAGTTGTTTCATGTTTTTTTAGTAGGTCTCAAAAATAGAATATAAAAAACAAATAATTGGTTTTCGTTGTTTGATATAATTTGTTTTATATAACTTGAAGTTTCCTTTTATATATAGTATGATAATATATTAGAAAAAATAGTACGTTACATTATACATGGAGGTCCCTCGTACATATATATATATATTAATAGCGATGGCCTCCAACCTAACAGCGATGGCCTCCATCCAACCTATTAGTGATGGCCTCCAACCTACTATCAAACTCTATGCGTGAATCATTATGGTACAGCCTCCCGAAGCAAGTGCAGGGCATTGCAAAGTGTCATCCAGTTTCACAAAAACAATGATTGACCAAATTTGCATAGTAAAATCAGCCTCTCCAAGAATCTCCTAAATCAGCCCAACTCATACACGCTGTATTCAATCGAGACCTGGGCATACTTGGGAGTCCGAACGCGCAACCACTGTGAATCGCGGGCAGCTCTTTCTCTTGCCACAGGCAACCACTCGATCTCAGCCAAAGGGACTTCGCCTCATGTCCCCAAATCACATCTTTCACCCACGGGCAAAGTCTTTCTGGCAGATTCAACAGAATGTGCAAACAACCTCCAGCTCTCAGTGACTAAACTCCAAGACCCCATGGCAAGCCTTCGGTTACACCTTGAGCGGCAAAAAGAAGACCCCTGGCGGTGGCGATCGGGGTTGGGAGCGAGCAACAGTTTCGGTTGTCAATTCATGCAACATAGTAGCACCTGCAAGCTGCAGCTGCTAGCTCACAACGTGCAAAATTGAGGCTGGGGGCCTTAGGAGAAGCGAACCGCACCAAACGATGTGCAAAAAGAGATATTCAGCTTTTCCTTTTGCCTTGCTCATGTTCTTCAGTTTGTGTGTTGTATAGCCTATAGCCACTTTCGATTCTGCTTTTGTTTGTGCTCTGCAGCTGCTGAGCATGGTGGCATGGGACCAGCAGCCCCGCTGAACATCATAAGCCTCCCATGATGTCCCACATGTCCACTGCAGTTGTGAAAAACGAGTGACTCAACAGACTGCACAATTATTTCAACTCAAAAGACTGCACATCTTTCAAGTTTGACAAACAAAGTGTTTGGACATGTTTGTGAACACATTGTAAAGTCTCAGCCTCTACAGAGTCCAAGATCTCATCCTCCACGCTGCGCCCCCCCATCACAAACACACGGCCTGGTGAACTGGAGCTCGGGCAGAACAAACAAAGCTCACACAACCTTGCCAAATCTACCGAAACAATTTAACCTCCTTATCTGTGGCCTGGCTGCCACACACACCTTCGTGTCATCCTGAAAGCCCGTTGGCCTTATCATCTTGCCTTACCCCAAAGCCAAAAAAATTATCCAAGGTGCGCACTTCCATGCATTGCTACAAGTAAACTGATATTCCATGCGCTGAAAGAGATCTGTCCTTTGGCCTTAGCTAACTTCGTAGCCAGACAATCCAAAGCCCATTTTCTCATTGTGTAGGGACACCATTTCACGTGACTTGAAAATTTCCCTTACGGCGCCTTGTGCAGAGGCACAAGCGCAGCTCCACCGTGGAAGCCGCAGCCGTGAGAGCGGTGTCCTGCTCCAAAACATCATCAAGTTGGACAGTTCGCACTACAGCTTCGGTCAGCAGGCCTCTCTCTGTTCCTAGGTGTACTCTCTTGTAGTTTGCCTTCTGTCTAAGGATTCTTTTGAGATGCATCAAGCATCAAGAAGCTTGGATAGGACCTCAGCAGATCTTCTTCGGAACTTTATTAAAAAGACAGTCAAGCTTCAACGTTCAAAAGGACATGACAGAAACTCCAGACATGGCCACTTCAAACCATCCGTGATGCAAAAAAGTCTTGGTGACCGCCCTAGCATCTGTTGTGGTCCCAAAAAATGGCTGCTTCCCATGTCCAGGCATTTGTGCCGATGTCAAAGCTTTCTACCTGAAACAGAAACATGTCGCTCGCAAAAGATTCTGAAGGGCAAAGTTCCTTTACAAACTGCTAATCGCAGAGGCTCTGGCCGAGGAAGTCGCTTCCTCATATGGCAGGGGTCGAAATGAAGCGAGAGAGATGCTTTAAGGAATTCGTCGGGATTTGCTTAACGGCAAGTCCATGGGGTAAGACGAATAAGCGGAGAAGTGCGAAGGTCCAAATGTGTAGAGACTTGGCGGTTCAGCAGATTAGTGTGAGGCCGCGAATCACTAGAATCAGCCACAATGTGTCGTTGCTTCTCCTTACATACAGCATGTTTGTGGCTTGAATCGATGTCCAGACTCGATGACTGGATCATAATTGGAAAGCATGTGGACATATTAAACATCTATATACCCAAAAGCATGATGCCACGTCCATGTTTCCTCTTGAAAGCCTCTGCCGAAATGACAGTTCACTGACAATGACAAGTCATCCCACCCATATCCTCCGCACGAATCTTCTTCCAAGTGTCGCCATTTGCATCCACACCTCCCAAGACCAAAGTTTGCTGTGGGAACAGCTCGGCCAACTCTATGGACACGCCATGCAAACAGCTCCTGCAAGTGAATTTTCAGATGTTATCCTAATGTGTCCATGCAGCTTCTCCAAAGAAGCTAAAGGTATTTTGCTAGAAAAACAGGACAAGTCCGGACAAGTTGATTGAGGTGATCCTGAAACACTATGCAAAGCCATCCTCCAACAACTTCAGGTTGCTAGTGTCCTCATCAGCTTGGAGCACTGTGAGATGGACAAAGCCTCTGTGTGACCCAGGAGACCTCAAATGCAGGTCGATAAGAACGGAACCAGTCGAACTCTGTATTTAGAGGGAAGGCAAAGTTGAGTCAAACAGTCAAACATGATTTTTACTCGCTCTGTAAGATGTGCTCTTCTTGGCACATGAATCAGTTGAAACCTTGCCACAGTCACAGTCAACACAAACGTCAACGGAGACCTGTACACAGGGCATGATTTCGTTGGGCCCCTCATGTGTTGGGAGGCAACAAACTCGTCATCTAGCAAAACGGCCAGCAATCACGGTCTCTGTCTGCGTTTGCTTGTAGAAACTTACGGATGAGAGGACCCTTTGCAAATGCGAATTGTGGCACGTAAGGTCAGGTCTGGCTGCCCAAGTCTATTCAAGCTGCCTTCTTGTGAGACAGTACGTCAGCTCGGCTTTTAGAAAAAATGAAGCCGATATGGAGGTCGAGGTTGTTCAACAGACTTTTGGGTCCCCTATTTTGAGATATCCCGAATTGACCAGCCGCAAAGACTACACAGAGGCACCTCTTTTGGCCCCTCCACTTTGTCCTCCATCACAGGACTGTCATCATCTTTGGGAAGTGTCGTCACAGTCTCTTCATCTTCCGCAGGCAGCTTTGGCTGGGGTACCTCCACTGGCGCATCCGTGGTCTCCGGTGCATCAGTGGCCTCACACTCCTGGGTCTCCTTGGTCTCTGTTACAATTTCGGTCTCTGCCTGCAAACTAGAAGGCTGTTGCCCACATGCAACGAATAAAGCCCGTACATGCAGAAAAGCAAACGATGAGAGAAGAGTCTTCAGCCTGAAGTGAAATCTACATCTTTGTAGCATGAAAAGGTTTCACAGAACGTGTGGAAATACAAGATTGCTGGATGTTGCGTTGCTGGCCTCTTTGAGCTCTTCACACTGGGTCTCTTCGGGCTCAGTCTTGGCTCCCACCAAACCCTCATCTGCTTGGACTGCCACCGCCTGGACCTCTGGCTGTACCACTTCCATCTGACTCACATCCTGAAAGATTGAAAATCAGAAGTGGGTGCAGCAGAGTCATGAGGTCATAAACGCGAGTGCGTGACATTGAACAACCTTTACATATCTTTCTTGTCCAACAATTTCTCCTGCTTTTCTTCAGGCTCAGCCCTTGTTTCCGCGCGGGCAGCCGGAATTGCCTTTGAGCTCTTGCAGCCCATGATCAAACGCTATGGATGGCGCAAGACAGCTGGAACCTTGAAACAGCTCCCCCGGCTCTAGAATTCCAGGCACAACAATGACAGCAATATAGAAGCATTCAACAGCTTCTCTTGCAACATCTTGCAACTAAGGCCGTTTGGGTGTAGCAAAGGAGACATAGTACTGCCACTGAGGTCACTCGTGAGTTTCCGGAAAGGCCCCAACCTGCCACTTGCAGCGACATGCCTGGAGCTTGCATGGCTTCTTCCAAGGAGGCATCAAAGTTGCACCTGGCACCGCAACAGGACAAGGCGCCGCGAAAAAGCAACGCATTCAAGAACAGGTGTTGGACTTTCACAGAAAACCTCGTCACCAGCGAGGCTCTCTTGGCTCTCTTGGCTCTCTGGCTCTCTATCTATCTATCTATCTATCTATCTATATCTCTCTCTCTCTCTGGGTCTCTCTGGGTCTCTCACGGGCAGCGCTGCAAGAGCTTCTCGAAGCGTTGTCGATGAAGCTGCGCCAGAAACTGCTCAGCACGGATCTGCTCTGTGGCCTTAGGAGTCTCAAGTCTTAAGTCAATCTCAAGAGTTGTCAGCTGTCTGAAATTCTTAAAGGAGCCTCGGCGTTCCATTTCATCTAGCCCTATCATGCATTGACCTTCGCCGTTGCTATTCGACTTTAAATAGTGCTTTCCTGTCCTACCCAGGCTAGTGCAGGGGCCTGTAGGCATGTCCGGAGAGCCACCAACTCCTGGCAAATCAACACAAGGTTCCCATGTTCCATTTAAGAACCTCTATTCAATCTTGGCTGAAGTCATCTCAGAACAGAATGTTGGATATTTCCTGTTTTCCTGCAAAACAAACCTATTCAAGTTCCTGCATGTTGAGCCCATCTCATTTTGTCCTGCCTCTGACAGCTCAGAGTATTGATGAGCCAGGCCTCGTAGTTTCACATCAAAAGGCTTTGGTTAAATCAATGACATCGTGATTTCCATTTTTGCTTCAGTGAATGTCTTTATCTCAAAATGTAGGGAAAAAACTGTTTGGTGTATTCATTAAAAGAGAATGGCAACCACAAGCACACTCGAACTGTCTTCCAACGCACTAAACCTTCGGTGGTATGTGTTGCACCTACACAGTGGATTCTTGTCGTCATAAATATGTCATTCTTGATTGGTTTGCCGGCCGTACAAGGATACAAACACCAATGGGGAAGCAGGTGGCTAACAAAACCATGGAATTACAAATAATCCAACAATTTCTCCGAGAGACACTGCACGACTATTTCAAGGCACTTTGAGTAACTACTCTCACAGGAAATTTCTGAAAAACTGCTCAAAGAGAAAGTAGTGACTAAACGGTCTTCCACTTGAAGATCGCGTAAGTATTGCATGGAGAGGTCACAATTTGTTGAAATGGAAACCACAAACGACCTAGCAATGCTTCAGTGTACCTGACATCACTGCAACCTGATCAATTTAAATACTTGAGGCCAAGGGGGGGGGGCGAAAGCTAGCGCTCCAGAATGGGAAAGTGGAGGGCAGCGAGGTAGGAAAAAACACGGCGCTCTTTTTGGAGGCAGGGGTGAAGAGTCCTTTATATGTGGCTCTTTGCCCGGATCCTCCTGCGAGAGAAGAGAGAGAAGAGAGACGGAAAGACGAGAGACAGAGAGGAGAGAGAGAGAGAGAGAGGAGAGAGAGATGAGAGAGATGAGAAAGAGATGAGAGAGATGAGAGAGATGAGAGAGATGAGAGAGAGAGAGACAGTGAGACAGTGAGACAGTGAGACAGTGAGACAGTGAGACAGTGAGACAGTGAGAGTGAGCGAGTGCGGCCGCAAGATACGCAACGCTAACCGCATGCCAAAGAGCGACGACAGGACGGAGTCGAACTTGCGAAGAGGGAGGAGGGAGGGAGGGAGGGAAG